TAGCCCAAACCGGGCGACACAATAGCTTTTGTCATCACGTGACACGTTTTCAGGCTACACCTCACATTTAACGTTATATGGACATAACCAGAGTCTTCTTCAATTTTGTTTCAGAGTTAATTACTTGAATAAAAAGATGTAATTTTCGATTAGGAAATTGTTTGGATCCAAAATGGTGGAAATGTCATGATATTTTCTGAGCTTATTAGCTATTTTCTTAAACTTTTAATCATCAGCAAAACATCAAGTACTCTTAGAAAAAATAAAATTTGTGAACCACTTATTGCTCTTTTGTTGATAGATCAAATAGCAAAATTTGTATTGTGTTTTTTAATATTTTTAGTGATTGAAATAAGTTAACAATAGTTTTCGCATAAAAAGGAAATCTTTTGTTTTCATCAGAATGATTAAAATTTAAAACATGAAATTACTGATTAAAATTTAAACCGATTAAAATTTAATACTACTTAATTAATTATTAATTTGTTAGTACATTAAAATTAATTAATTGCTAATTTAGTCTACTGATTAAATTTAAAATGTAGAATAATATTTGACAATTACTAATTCTGGAAATCATCGAATTATCCCTTATTTATTTTATGAAACAGTAATAAATATTAAAAACACTCATTAACCCTTTAATAATATCATTATTTATTGTTGTATAATTCCTTTTTAATATTTCCTTATTCAATAATTCACTTTAATTTTTTTATGAAACAATATGTAGAAAAGTAATTTGCATATCNAAAGCGTTGATGTAAGCAATTTAGCTTATACTTATGAGAATAAAATTGTTCAAAATATATAAAGAACAAATTACCCTTTCTCCCCCTTCAAAAACAAATCCCATAAGTAAACCATAAAAACATTTTAAAAAAACCAAGCAATTTCTAAATAATATTTTTCTTACATTTTATTTCAATTTTCAGTACCGATATTTTGGAATATTACAGATCTATTATCATATTTGTAATAGGGTTAATGGTGTAGATCTCTCCACTTAAGTCAGAAACATTTATTATCCCTATCAGAACCTACATGAGTTAAGTTCCCAAAGACAGATGGTGAAAAACGAAAACTTAAATTTTCCTTTCTTGATTTTGAAAACTAATTTTTCTAGCTACTAGGGTCAAAATAAGTTAAATTCCAGAGTTCAATTACTCTAAAATAAAAAAAAGGAAAATTGGAAAGAACATTAAACTTTTGAGTTTATTACTGGCGGGGGGAAGTCTCATTAGATAATATTAGCTTTCTTTAGTCATTCCATAGCCATGTCCTAACTTTAATTACTTAGAATTTTTAAAAAATGCAAAAAAAATATTTTTAAGGTATTTAAAACTTTTAAATTTTAAAGGGAGTAGATAATTACATACTAAAAGAATTAGAAGTGTTATTTTTCCTTCAAGTATATAGGTAAGGTTATTTTCGAGCGTTTAATTTCCTGAAAGTTAAAAAAAATATAAGCGTTAAATTATTATTTAGAAGGTACTTAAAAATTGCGCAATTAAGAAAAATAGGTAGTAATGACCTCCGCAGGATATATAGCATTTCTTCAATGTGAAGGATTTTCCAGTATTTATACACTTGAATACCAAAAAGTACATACTGAAATTTTATTAAGCACATAAAAATATAACTTTAGAAGCGATAAAGTGGGAAGCACTTCCCCAGAAACTGTGATATTTTTTGACATCCCATGTATGTATTTTACAAAATTTTCAAAACGGTATGATTGTTTCTCATTATTTTTCAAAATTTAAATATACTATTTAGAATTTAGATAACTGAGAAATATTTTTTAAAGCATTTAAAATATATTTGGAAGTCTATTCAATCCAATCACTTGTAAATTCTTCGTGCAAATATCTCAAAATTGCCAAGAACAAGAACTAACATAAAAAATATACGATAAGATACTTTTGGTATTTATTTAAACAAAGTGATTTTATTTTAATTATTGCTTACTTAGAGTGGCAAATATAAGACTTATATATCCATTGTACTTTAAAAAAACATATTCCTAAGTAAAAAATTATCTTTATTTAACAATAATTTTTATTCTAAGATTGTAGTTTCTAAGTTATTGTAGTTTGTAAGTTCGTTCGATAATAAGCCAAAAAAGATCTCGAATTACACTGTGAAAAATTCCGCATCGAATTACGGTATAAAGCATCAACACTTCGTGTTCGTCATTCGTAAAATCCATTATACCGTTAAATCCTAATTTACCGTAAAAAATCATCTCGTAATTTTTACAGTAACATTTTTTTATTTATAGTGATTCAGTGATTTTTTATTGGTGTTACTTAGTGATTATTTATTTAAAGTTATTCAGTGATTACTGTAAAAATTACGGCACATTGTTACTGTAAATGTGGATTTTACAGTAAAAAGTAGAAATTTATACCATAGTTTGATAGGAAATATTTTAGAATACTTGAAAGTTGGTTGGCTTGCGTTTAACAATGAAATCTATTTCACTGAAGAAAAAAAATATTATACAAATTTCTTACCTTCGTTGGACAATCCAGGAGTTGTTTTCAAATGAAATACCAGTTTTAAGAATGTTTATTTCTTACAAAGGAGCCTGAGCAAATATGCCTAGCAATATTCAGGTGAATTTTAACTTCTTACCTTCTAAACAAAAAAACAAACAACTTTCATTCTTTTCTTAAGAGATTAGATCAAATTTTGTTTCTTTGCAATACTAAAATAATTTCAGGAAATTTTAAGGTTGTGAATTCAATAAAGTACTAGTTGATAAAATATTTCAATTATTTTCACTAAAATTCTGTCTCATTAAAATTCTAAGTCGCTATTTTGAAAATCAATTATGAAAAGCTTTTTTTCATTTTTGGAACTAATAATAGTTCTCAGAAATTAATATCAAGTGTCAGTCATTATTAAAATCATCTACATATAATTACTGCATCGTAAAAGATAACTAAAATGTGTTCTATGTTTGATTCCGGTTCTAATTATCTTATATTAACAGTGTTTAACCTTTTTTGCCTACTATATTGTATTTGTCTTTTTTTATAAATTCATTTTCCATCAAACTCAATGTACCATCAAATATTAAATCCGTTCCTAAGTTTAATTAATTTTTAATTTTTTACAAAATAAATTTAGTGTTTTGCAAAAATATCGCTCAGAATCTTCCTCCCAATTCCACCAGAATATCTTTTCCCAACATTATCATTTTCTCTCCTTACGTTTTTATGCAATATTTAGAAGGTCCCATTCAGCCAAAACGATTCTATTGATATGATTGGGGCTTAAAATTGATGACCAAATTTTTGATTGGTAATAAAATTTATTAAATCATTCGGATGTAAAAAATTATAACCACAAGATAAACGATGCATCAGGGAACTATAAAGTATAAACCATAAGTTTATCCATTGAGAATAAATTACGTATGCTTTTTTAACGAGTGAAATTTGTTGTGTTTCCATTTCTTGTTTTCTCTAGACAATAAATGAATAAATTTAGAACTGTCGTCAATTGTTAGACTTTAATGTGCTGGTTTAAGCAATTCTGGCATAACTTGTGAAATAGTTGGATATACATTTTTACAGTAAAAGTTAATTCTACGTCAAAGAAAGAAATATAAAAACAAAACGTGTGCACTTATTAAAATCTAATACAATTAGTTTCCAAAGAACTGTATATACCATAGATAAAAATTTTATTGATAAGCAGTTTAGATGCATTTTCTAAAAAACTACTATTCTACAAAGTGTGTGAAACAAACAAATGTAAGCTTATTTTAGAATAACAATAATTCGTTTAGTTATAAATATAGAGATAATTGAATCATTATTACTTCAGCAACGATTCAGGAAAGTCTCAAATTAATTATCAGAAAAAAATGCTCTATTTATAGCACGTAAGAATACAATTTATAAAGAAAGAAACACACAAGAACTTTTCAAGTTGAAAACACAATTTCACTTTCACAGCTGCATTTAAATTAAAGTTACAAAATCGCAATGCAAAAAGAAAAGGAACAGAAAAAAATTGAACTGTTTTTACAAAGCGTTGATTCAAATAACTAGGAAAACATTCAATTCAGCATTTATCTTTCACTTCAGGAGGTAAAAGATCTCGCTTTATAGAATGCTTGAAGAAGAATTTCGTTTATTTCTATCGTTTTCATGGAAGTAAGTTAATTGGAAATTCAGAAGAATAGTTCTTTTGTGAACGATAAAAGAAAAATACAAATCTGACTGAAAAAACAGTCTTAGTTCGTTTTTTGTCTTCTTTTGCATAATTAAGGTTTAATCAAAAAGTACACTCTTTAATGGATGTAGCAAAAATGTAAAATCCAGAAACAAAATCGCATTAGACATTTATTTTACCTTGTAAGCTGCAATAATTTAAAACCGAAAAATTTTAAAAAATTAAGAAAATATGCAAATGAAACAATTTAAATAAATGATTAAATAGAGACATTTTTTTATAAATCGTCATTTTTAAAAGTTTATTTTTAATGTACGACAAATCTATTTAAATCTAAAAATCTCAAGATCAGAAAACAAGGAAAACTAAATATTTTTTTTACAGTTTAGGGAAATGAGATTTGTTTATACTTTCAGATTTCTATCGATTTTGCCATTACGCTTGTGGTTCTGTATCAGAAAGAATTCATTATTTCAAATGCATAAAATAAAATACCTCAATATAATGTTTTTTTCTAGTTACAATTATTCTTTGAAATTGCTGAAAATTTTTTTTCATTTGTGTTCAATTATTTCTATTGTGTGTGTTTCATGAATTTATTCTAAAATAATTTTGCAAATATTTAAAATGCAATAACTCTAACAAGTAGCATATATATATATGAGCCGCTCAGAAGCCAATGCGGTTAAGTCCATTTTTTGATATTTTCTGATTTTTGGAAATTTTGGTGAAATAAATAATAATCTTCTTAGTTATTAAAGGATTTACTCGTTGCTTACTTTTTTCTAGGTTAGACAGCCATTTTTTAATAGCTTCTGAATATATTGTATAATAATTTCAGAAGCCATTGTGAATAAGTCCACCTTTTATCAATATTTNAATTTCAGAAGCCATTGTGAATAAGCCCACCTTTTATCAATATTTTTTTTCATAAACTTTGAAATAAAAATTAAATTCTTCTTCTTCTTTCGATATTTGTTGGCAACACTGAAAAGCAAGAAATTCGTAGTAACTCAGGGTTGCCAGACGTAGTATTTTTTATAATACGGTAGTATTTTTTCACCAAAAAAAAGGGGTATGGTATTTTTGGTAGTATTTTTTTAAAATGTGGTATTTTTAGTTTTTTTTTCTTATTTATTTAATTTTCATTTCCTGAAACAAAGAAAAGTACCACTCTAGTTTTGAAGTAAAAAACAATTTTTGAAATAATCCAACAGTTTATTTTCTATTAGTCACTGTATCTAGTGATGATTGAGAAAAATAAAAGTTCGTTTATACTAGTAGACATAAATTTCTTATCTTTTTCAGCTGCCAAAAGGTATAAGTCCTAAAATTTTTAAGATGCTGTCATTATTTCAATAAATACTTACGTTTTTATTTACACATCCTGTACATATCTTGTTTTTTTT